GGAATTTGGGTTCAGAGGTGCTCAGGGGTGACCACGGCTCTAGGGGTGTTCCTGGCAGTGTTTGAGGCCATGAGGTGCTGGGTATGGAACAGGGATCAGTCACATAAAAGGCAAGTGCCAGGGCTGGAGTGATAGTACAGCGGGTAGGGCTGTTTACCGTGCATGCAGCTGACCCAGGTTCGATTCCCAGCACTCCATATGGTCCCCTGAGCACCGCCAGGAGTAATTCCTGAGTACAAAATCAGGAGTAACCCTTGTGCATCACCAGGTATGACCCCCCCCCCAAAAAAAAAGGCAAGTGCCTATTTTTTTTGGGGGGGGTCACAACCAGCAGTGCTCAGGTCTTAACTCCTGGCTCTGTGCTCAGGGACGCCTGGTGAGCGCAGGGGACCATATGGAGTGTCGGGGATCAAACCTCAGATTGGCCGCGTGCAAGGTAAGTGTACCACAGTACCACCTACCCACTGTACCACCTCTCTGGCCCCATAGGCAAGCACCTCAAGCACTGTACTAGCTTTGTCCTCACCCACCAGGATTCTTAATCTTGTCTCCTGATTTGAGAGGTCCAAGAACAGACTTTCGGTGAGAAGTTGGGATTAAAAATGCATGTGCCACACACAATCAAAGAAGGCCTTTGATTCTGTTGAGACGGAAGCGGTCATTGAAGCCCTAGCCAATCAGGGCATTCAAGCCCAATACATCAGGATCCTCCGTGAGCTGTATTGCGGATTCACTACCAGGATCTCACCATTCTACAAAGAAGTGATCGTTGATGTCAAGAGAGGGGTGCGGCAGGGTGATACCATTTCACCGAAACTCTTCAGTGCCACCCTCGAGAACATCATGTGACGACTGGAATGGGAAGAAATGGGAGTGAAGATAGATGGTCGGCAACTACACCACCTCCGCTTTGCTGATGACATTGTTTTAATAACACCAAACATCAGCCAAGCGGCACAAATGCTGGCCGACTTTGACCGTGAGTGTGGAAAGGTAGGACTACAGCTGAATCTTACGAAGACAATGTTTATGAGAAACAGCCTTGTTCCTGACGCCCCATTCGCTCTCAATGGAACGACCATCTCTGAATGCAACAGCTATGTGTACCTAGGTCGAGAGGTCAACATGAGAAATGACCTGGCACCCGAGCTGCGCAGGAGGAAGAGAGCGGCTTGGAACGCCTTCAAGAACGTCGAAGAAATAGCTAAGACGACGAAGAACCTCCGGCTCCGGGCACATCTCTTTGATTCCACTGTTCTTCCTGCATTAACATATGCCTCAGAGACCTGGGCCCTACGCAAACAAGATGAGAACGCCATTCAGGTCTCCCAAAGAAGAATAGAAAGAGCTATGCTTGGAATAACACGTTTCACTCAAATGAGAGAACGAATCCGGAGTTCTGACATCCGTCGACGATCAAGGATCAGGGACGCTGTCTCATATGCCAAGGTGTCGAAAATCAGATGGGCTGGTCACGTAATGAGATTTAAAGACGACCGTTGGACTAGAGCTGTTACTGATTGGATTCCACGGGATGTCAAGAGACCGCGTGGCCGCCCACCTACCAGATGGTCAGACTTCTTTGTCAAGATCATGAACGATCGGTTTGAGGCCCTCCATGTTCCCGGAGCGAAGAGATGCCATTGGGCTACACTAGCACGCGACAGGGACAAATGGAGACAGTTACTGGCGCCCGCTCGAGCAAATCGACGACTAACGGGAAGTTAAGTGATTAAGTGATTAAGTGCCACACACTTATAGCTATGGGCAAGAGTTCACAGAACTGAGGGTAAAAAAAACAACACTGACGTATAAGGGAATATTCTGTCACTCGCCATGTCAACCTTGAGAGACTGAGACACCCCCCTCCCACCTCCCAAGCAAAAAAAAAAAAAATTTTTTTTTTTTGCTTTTTGGGTCACACCCAACGATGCTCAGGGCTTACTCCTAGCTCTGCGCTCAGGAATTACTCCTGGCAGTGCTCGAGGTACCATATGGGATGCTGGGAATTGAACCCGGGTCGGCTGCATGCAAGGCAAATGCCCTACCTGAGAATTTGATCATTTGATGAGTCACACAGGGCAGGTCTGTCCCACTTTCTGATATGACATGTATTGAAGGTCCAGACTCTTGGCTCTGGGTTCTTAGCCAGCTCCAATTTGTCCAGGTCCCTTAAGCTCAAGCCCCTCAATGTACCCGTTGCTTTTGAACAGCAAGATTGTTTCATTTCCACAGCAGAACAGGGGGAAGAGCACAGCGAGATGAAGGCCCAGAATTCTCAATTGTCTGGAGGCTGTTTCTTTTTTCTTTTGAGGTAGAATTCTCTCCAGATGGTTTCTTTTTTTCTTTTGACACAATTCTCTCTCGAGATAGTTTCTTTCTTTCTTTTTTCTTTTTAATTGAGTCACCATGAGATACACAGTTACAAAGTTGTACCTGATCGGGTTTCAGTCATACTCAAAGTACTAGAGGTGGTTTCTTTTTTCTTTTTTTTTGCTTTTTGGGTCACACCCAGCAATGCTCAGGGGTTACTCCTGGCTCTGCACTCAAAAATTACTCCTGGCGGTGCTTGGGGGACCATATGGAATGCTGGGAATCGGAATCGAACCCGGGTCAGCCACATGCAAGGCAAACGCCCTACCTGCTGTGCTATTGCTCCAGCCCCTCGAGGTGGTTTCTTGAGGAAAGACTGAAGGCACACAAACAGTCCTGACAAGGCCAGGGTTCTCTTTGTCTCCAACGCCATGTCCAGTGAGGGCCGGGGCATGTCCAAAGCCACTGACCACCTGTCCCCAGACAGTTGTTTCTGGACTGAAAGTCATCCTTGTTAGTGGGTGAGAGGTCAGTTCACCACAATCTCACACAACACACAGTGAAATGACAGTCGTTCCAACCCCACCCCACCCCTGCCTCCTCCGTGAGTCACAGGCAGATCAGTGGCACCAGGGACCCTCATGTATGTGCTGGCTCCTGAGGGAGGCTGGAAGCCATTAGTCTGATGACTAGGGTGCCAAGGAGCATCTGCACGAACTCCAGGAAGTTTCAAGTAGCTAATTCAGGAGGATTAGAAGGACCTCCAAGGGACCTTAACTTGTGTCCCTGGGAGATTTCCTGTGGGAATGGACTCAGCACTGCCCACCCCAAGTCTCAAGCACTTGTTTCTTAGAGCCAGTCTTTGGGGCCACACCTGGCTTACTCCTGGCTCTGCATTCAGGAATCACTAATGGTGGGGTTCAAGGGGCTGTATGCAGAACTCGAGGTGGGCCACGTGGAAGGCAAGTCGTTGTACTATCTTTCCTAAGCCGAAAGGATTCATTCTTGAGACCCAGAAGCCCCCCCAAATCACCTCCCTTCCTGCCCCGGTTGTGGGAACATTGCCTGTGCAGTGTAGGGGGCAGTGATGAGTGCAATCCTTTTCTTCATCTGGGCCATCTGCAGCAGAGACCAACCCCTGACCAGACAGCAAAGGGTTGGGGAGATCTTGGGGATTCTCCATGTGGTGATGATGGTGATGGTGGTGGACAGACTATGAACTAGCAAGACCACTAGGAGTTTACCGGGGTCTCACCTGAGGCTCTCATGCACTTGAGCTGCAACCAGGATTGTCTGCACTAGCCCCTGCTGTGCGGCATAGCAGACCTCCAATTTCCTGCTAGCTAGGGAGCCCTAAAGGAGGACAGCAAGGGCTGAGGGCTGGATGTCTTGCGGTTTGCTGCTCTAGCTAATGGATGGTTCAGGGTCTGTGCCAAGCTATTTCTTGCAGGATGAATTTAAGGTCTCTGTAGGCCCAGTATTCCGCTTACAAAAACATTATTTTGGGGCTGGAGCCATAGTACAGTGGGTAAGGCACTTGCTTTACATACAGCCCACCCAGGGTTCAATCCCCTGCTATGGTCCCCGAGCCTGCCAGGAGTAATCCCTGGGCGCAGAACCAGGAATGTACCCTGAACACAATGGGTGTGGTCTAAAAAAAGTTATATTCTACGTTCAATGAAGTATATAGAATAAGCAGGTAGGAGGGCCAGAGCGACAGTAAGGCGGGTAGGGCGCTTGCCTTGCACGTGGCGGACCCAGGTTCCGATTCTCAGTATCCCACTGAGTCTCCTGAGCACCTCCAGGAGTGATTTCCAGATTGCAGAGCCAGTAGTGACCCCTAAGCATCGCTGGGTGTTAACCCAAAGCAAAAAATGAGTAGGTAACTTTCATACTTAGGAGTCATGAAATTTAGTCTAAAAAAGCCAAAACAAACAAAAACCTTTTACATAACAGTCCAAAAGTACGGGTAGGTGCTTGCCTTGCACGCCGCAGACACGTTCGGCATTACGTACGGTCCTCCGAAACAAAGCCTCAAGCACAACTGGGTACAACCAAAATCCCCCCTTTCCCACCCCTTCCACCCCCAAAAAGTGAAATTCAGTGATGCAGTCCTGATTGTTCCCATTTTACGGATGTGGACACTGAGGCACAAACAAAAAAGATCAAGCCCACAGGCACCGGCATAGGAAACACAAACGTGCGTTTGCATGGCCTCAGAGCCCCACGTCCTGAAAAGGCCATCCCCTTCCCATTCCTGGCATCATCGAGGTTCCTGGAGGAGCCCCGGAGTTGCAGGACAGGCGAGCGATCCGGGCAGAAGATCAAAGCGCAGGTGAAGGACCAGGGGCTGCCGGGAAATGGCACCGTGGTACCCCTCCCGGGAACGTCAGCGTCAGACTCCCACTGCGCCTGCGCAGCCTTCGCTCGGCCGAGAGCCCGGCGCCTGCGCGCAGCCGCTCCCTCGCCCACGGCCTCTCGGACCCGCCGTCTGTGCGCAGGCGCCCGGCCGGGAGACTGCCGCTCGCCGGGCTCCGCGCATGCGCCCTAGCCGCGCCTCCGCCTTGTATTTCCGGCCCCTAGCCAGCCACCCCCGCCTCGCTCGCTCTCGGACGTCACTTCCTGTTTGCGGCGGGCGAAGGCGGTATTTCCGGCCGGAGGGTGGGAGGGGGCGGTAAGCGGGGCCAGGGGGGAGGGGGCGGGGGGGGCCGCGCCGCGCGAGCCGTTGGGCCTGGCTCGAGGAAGGCGTTGCCGCCGCCGCCGCCGCCGCCGCCGCCGCCGCCGCCGCCAGGAAACCCCAGGAGCGGGCGCGAGCGCAGCGTGGCCATGGGCCGGAGCAGGGCCCCGCCGGCGCGGCTGGGCGGCCGCCGGTGACAGGTGAGCGCGCCGGCGCGTGTCCCCGAGCGCCCCCCGGGCCCCTCAGTTCTCCCCTCAGCGCCGCGCCGGGGGCCCCCGCGACGAGCCGGGCTGGAGCGCTCCCCGGAGCGCGGCCGCGACTCAGGGGTCTCCGGCGATCCCGGGGAACGCCCCCGGAGGGGCCCCGGGCGTGTTGGGGGCAGGTCGTGGTGCCCAGGGACCCGGAGGGGCGCCGTCCGCCCGGGGTGCGGTGGGTGGGGCTCGGGGCATCCCGGGAGCTGGAGAGGGGAGGGGCCCCCGCTCGGCCCAACTTCGCAGTGACTCGCCGAGGACCTGGGTGGTCCCCGCGGCGGCCGGCTCCGGCCCCCCCTCCCCTCGGAATCCTTCCTGATTCCCCGGCCGCGCTGGGAGGTGGCGGGGCGGGGGACCCCTCTGGCCAAGCTGTCCCCGCGGGGGTGGCGGGGCGCGGCGCGGGAAGGCGTCGCAGCCCGTGGCTGAGGTTTCTCAGGCTCGGAGTGGAAGAAGCGCTGTGCCCCCTGGCCGGGCTGGGGGGAGCGGGGGAGTCGGGGCACGGCCCCCCACCCGCCCCCCGGGGCACGGCGCCTGGGGACCACTTGCTCCCCCACGCTGGAGTCCCCAGGCGCGGGGCTGAGCCGCCTCTGCGTCCCTCAGCACGGAGGCGTTGCGAGGGACCGAGGCGGGGACTGCGCGGCCCCCGCCGCCCCCACCCGGGGCTTGTTTGGGGCTTCCTGTGCGTGCAGCTGTGCGCCCTGCCGCGCTCGCTCCCCACTAGCACCCCACTGTGCTCTCCACGGGGCGCTGCCGTTGGCCTCGCCGCGTGGCTGGCGGCAGCGAGGCTGGGTGCTGTTTTCCCAGCTGTTGCTCTCCGCATCAGCCCCGGGAACCCCTGTGTGGACTTGGGGGACCCAGAGGGGAAGGCCGCTTCCCGCGGCTTTGGGGGAGACCCCTTCTCCCTGCTCCCCACACGCCTGGTTTCTCTCCCTTCTCGCCTGGTTGGTGCTCAGAGCAGTCCGCCCCGGGGGCGGGGGGGTGGGGGGGAGGCCATGCATCTCTGTCCCTAGGCCAGTGTGTGACCTTGGCTTGCCCCATAACCTTTGCCCTGGGTCTGGACTTCGCAGAGAGCTGGCGTTGGTCCCAGGCTGACCCAGCATCCCAGGGTTGGCGATGTGGTCATAGGGGGCACCTGGTGCTTTGTCGCAAGGCTTCCGAACAGTCTGCCGGGGTTCCAGGCGAGAGCCGTTCTGCGCCCCAGGAAGCACTAATGACTTTGGCGACTCTTTCTCCGTGAAGGTTTGTTCCTCTGGTCTCTGGCTGCTAGTTTTTTGGGGTTTGCTTGGCCAATGAGCAGCAGCAGCAGTAAAAACCACGGCCCCACACTGACCAAGTGTGTTCTGCCAGCTCCGTGCTGTTCCAAGTGTTTTCACAGGAATTCACCTATATGCTGGCACATTGCCCCCCACCCCCACCACTTTTAGAAGGGGCCACCGAAGCACAGGACCGTCATTTTAGAGCTGGTGAATGGTTGGTTGGTGTATTGCGTGCATTGCGACCCCATGATAGGCCTTTCACTCCATGCTCTCAGAACTCTGTGGGTTAGGTCTGGCCAAGGCCATTTCATAGATGCTTGGGTTAAGGAGGTGTGTGACACCTCCTTGACCACTGAGGGGACGGAGGCACTGTCTGTGACATGAAATGCTTTGCCCGACATCGCACAGCCGGAAGTGGCAGGGCTGGAATGTGAGCACCAGCTTCACTGGCCTCCGTGAACTCTCTGTCAACAAACAACTGGAACGGTAGCTCCTGGGCACCCCAGTGGGGACATGATGCTGTGTCCATGCTGCAGAAAAGGTCCCGAGGAGGAACGGTCTCGCCATAGGTGCATCACATCGCACAGGCCCAGATTGCTTCCAAACGCAGACCCGGGTTGCCCGGTTCCTGGTGCCACACACGGGTTGTGCTCCTCACCAGGCTGGAACAGGGGTCCGTCTGCGGTGGTCCCTTGTCCTGGGCCTCAAAGTTCATACCTTGGGCCTTGCCTTCTCACCTTTCCCCTCAGCCTAAAGCTGTCTGAGCACCCCACCCTCCTTCCCGGGAGAAACCAGCAAGGTGTGCCCCAGCTCCCTGGGGCCCCATATTAGTGTCCTGTGTGTTCATCCTTACACTTTCCTGCTCTGGCTCATTCGTCTCCGTTCTTCTGTGTGACCTTAGGCCCCCGCTAGTCACCTGCCTGCAGTGGGCTCAGAAGTGTTTGGAAGCACCTGGGTGGGTTGTGCACGTTAGTGTCATCCGGAGACACTTCTCTAGTGGGGCCTGCCACGTATACATGCTCCGTCCCAAGGGGCTTATGCCGCTTTTGCTGCCTTCTGACTCCTCACAGTCACACCCCCCTTTCCACGCCCCCCCCAACCCCCGCCCTCCTGGCTCAGTCCCTGCTTGTCCCAGATTGTACTGAAATGATACAGGCACCAGGATTCAAATTCAGCCCTTCCCTGGTGGGATGTGTGACCTTGACAGGCAGGCTCCACCCTTCTGAGCTAATTTCATCATCTGTCTCAGAGGTCCCTAAACTTCCTTGGCCCACCGCCCTCGTTTCAAAAGAAGAAGAAGAACAACAAAAAAATCAGTCAGCTTCAGCCCTCTCCCTTGTGCCAGGAATTGGCCTTCTTCCAGTGAACAAACCCAGCTTGCACCTGGAACTCCTGTTGGTACCCCTTGGGGCGGTGTTGCCTGCTTTGGGAAATACTGATATGTATTCGGGCTGCTTAAACGCTTCCCTATCGCGAACTCTTGTTAGCTAGAAAAACTCTCTCATGACTCAAGTTACCTGAGTGTGTAAAACAGGTATAGAAATCAAACTTTGGCTGATAGTGAATCCTAAAGAGGGGCCAGCGAATACTGCGGTTAAGGTACTTGCCTTGCATCCATTCGGGTTTGATCCCCAGCACCCCATATGTAGCTCCCTGAGCCCCCCCAGGGGTCAGTCTTGAGATTAGAGCCAGGAGTAATCCCTGAGTACTACTGGGTGTGACCCAAAACAAAATAAATAAATTCTAAAGAAATTTATTTTGTGTGACCCCCCCATACCAGTTCTGACCCACAATTTTAAGCAGATTTCTGGGAGCCAGAGCGATAGTTCAATCCTTGGCTTTCCATATGGTCCCACACACACCACCAAGAGTAATTCCTGAGTGCAGAGCCAGGAGTAACCACTGAGCATTGCTGGGTGTGACCGAAAAAGCCGAAAAAGCCAAAAAAAAAAAAACAAAAACAAAAAAAAACAGTGTTCTGTAAGGTTTGTGGGATGGAATGCCCAGTTGACAGGTTGTTGTAAAGGTAAAGTGAGCTTGTGGAAAACATACAGTAAGCCGACTAATTTACAGAAAGGGGACATACAGTAAACCCATTTCGTGTTCACTAATTAAGAGTTGTAAAGTCCTTGGGTTTCTTAGTGACTGTAATTCTTCCTTCCGTTAGGATTTTGAAGGTCCTTCTTGTCTGATAACCTGGATAAGGGTGGGGCCGAAGTTAGCATGCACAACCCTCCCTTCCCAGATGAGAAAACAGATTCTAGAGGGAAGGAAATAACTGGTAGATTGGGGCTGGGGAGGCATCACTGCCTAAGAAGCTTGCGGCTCATCTGGGTTTGATCCCCGGCAAAAGATTGTGGTGCCCTAAACACCAAAGTGATTCCTGAGCACAGCCAGATAAGGCCCCCCCAAAAATAAAGCCGGCAAATGCAAGTTCCCAGGTCCTTCCCTCTCCCACCTGTTGCTGCCCTGAGCCCCTTTGAGGTGGAAACTTCAACTTCTTTTCGTCTCTGCTCACCCCCTTTCCTGTCGGTGCCTTACTGAGCAGCCCCCAGGGGTGGCGGGACACACTGGGTGGATGTGAAACAGCCTGCCAGACTCACTTGGGGAGGTGGCACAGGCGCTGGTGGGGGCTTGGTGTGGCTTTGACCCCGAAGGCATGTTCGCTTCTGACCTCAGCTTGATTGAACGCAGACTGTGTGCCCAGCATTGCTGCAGGTGTTGGGGATACAGTGGTGTGCGTGACGGCAGGCCCTGTGCTCCTGGGCTGGGGGGACGCCCCTCATGAGGGGCAAGTTAAGGGGGTGCACCTGGTGGGGAATTGAAATCAGGTGTGTCTGGGAGCAGGCTTGAGCCTGTGGGGAAGGTACTGTGGCCTGAGGGAGTGGGGCAGCAGGGGTGAGCGAGGGTGGCCTGCCCCGGGAGGCCTGCCTGGCTTGGGGTTTGAGTGAGCGCCTCTTGCTTGCGGGCGTTTCTCGCCTTCTGCCTGGGGGCTGGGGTGGATTCTTGTAGCTGGGCTGATCAGGATGGAATGGTTTCCTGGGAGTTGGTCAGTCTGGGGTGGATTCTGGGGTATGGTCAGGGTGGGGTGGATTTTGGGGGACTGGTCAGGGTGGGGTGGACTCCCAGGGACTGAGCAGGGTGGGGTGGATTGCTGGGAGTTGGTCAGGGTGGGGTGGATCCCAGGGGACTGGTCAGGCTGAGGTGGATTCCTGGGAGTTGGTCAGGGTGGGGTGGATTCCAGGGGGCTGGTCAGGCTGAGGTGGATTCCCAGGATCTAGTCAGGATGGAGTGGATCCCAGGGGGCTGGTGAGGCTGTGGTGGGTGCCCAGGGATTGGCGAGGCTGTGGTGGGTGCCCGGGGGCTGGTGAGGCTGAGGGGGTTCCTGGTACCTGGTCAGGCTGGGGTGGGTTCTTGGGATCTGATCCGGGAGTTTTACAGCACCACTGCCCCAAGTAGAGTCACTGCTGCAGAAGGCTGAAGCCCTGCACTTGTCTCCTGTGGATTTCCTCCCACAGTCTGCAGGACTTCTGGCTGCTTTCTTTAGGGAGAGATTGGGGGCTCCATGGATGGTTTTTTGCCTACTGAACCCCAACTCGTGTGGCTGGGCGGCCAAAAAACCTCCCAGGCAGAGGACTGCAGTATCGCCCATCCACACGGTACCTGTGAGGCCCACCTGCTGCTCTGTCCCCC